TAGTTATAGGAGGGGTCCCATCTAAAAGGGGGGCTTCTTAAAGTGATTGTGAAATGAGCAGTTTTCTGTTTGAACCTATCAGTGAAGTAAAAAAAAACCTATCATGTTAAAAGTTAAAAAGGGCTAAATGGATGCAGCAACAACTAGACTTTCTTGTTCTTTAGTCATTTATGACAACGAAAAACTTATTTTAGAACATTGTCAGATTTTGAAATCTCACTAGTAATACAAGTATTTTAAACCGGAGAACAGTACAATTTCAGTATTTTTTTAGCATACTCAACCTCTTGTCTGTAAATATCAAAAGGTGGCATATGAGACAATTAGAGGTTCTGAGCAGCTTCCTTTGGCAAGATTTTAAGCCAAGAAACAGAAGAGCAGCCATATTGTGCCAGATCAAAGGCTAGTCTAGTCTAGATGGGCCATTTTTCAACAGTTGTCACAGGCAGCTGCCTGAGGAGGCATCATAAAAATAGCAAGAACGTGGTAGCAAGAGAGTAGTGATACTTGTCTGGAGTACCCTGCAGCCTCCAGCAATTTGTGACAAGCATTATATGCTGTTAAATTATGTCATTTAGAAAATAAATCTAAATGCTAAGTGGGTTTTTTTTATATCCTCACTACTTGTATTGCTACATAATAATGGGAGGCTGTACATATGAATTTTTAAATTTTTTTCCCAAACATAGTAGGATTATTTCAATATAGTTATTGAGAACTACTGTTTTATAGCAATTTTCATTAGGAAAAACAAAACCAAACCTCAGACATTAGTGAAACTTTTTTATAATCAACCCTGCAAATTGCATATTGGAATTGATTCAAGTAAAGGTTGATGTACCCAGCAAAGAAAGTGATGATGTTTCCATTTCATGGGAATGTGTGTTCCATTTCACTTATTTTGGCCATTTTAGCATCTCTTCATAATATTTTAATTTCACTAACTCTGGTCATGTTAGAACCTTACTTTAAGTGTTTAAGTCAGTGACTCTTGATTTCTGGCAGCTGTTTGTGCAAGTTGTGTTTTCCCATATTTCTCTGTCAAGTTGCATTTGTCTGTACTGCTCTCTGATTCACCTAGATGTGGCTAGGCTCACATCTTGATTTTTCACTGTAGAGATATTCAGACATAACTCCTGCATATGGGGTTCAACATTTCTTACTTTTGTTCTTTTTCTCTTCCCATAGTTGTTTTCAGAATAACGTTGAGATCCACGTTGCACATATTCAGAGTGGTCTGAGCCAGATGGGAAACTTACATGCTTTTGCAGCCAATAACACCAACAGAGACTGAAAACTTCCTTTCAAGTGTACAGCAAGTAGTTCTGGAAAATCTTCTTCCTTTCTATAGGCTTCACCAAATACCCTAACTGCCAGAAGACAAGGGAAGAGAAAACCTCTCAGAAAGGACCCTTTTAAATATATTATATCTGCTTCTTAAGGAAACCAGCGTTACATTAGATTTCTCCATTTGTTATTCACATGCAGTAGTTTTGCTAACTGGTAATCTCTTAGTAATTGCATTGATTATAGTAAACTTGAAAGCATACTTTCATATAATTTGAACTTGGTTTTTAAAAGTTCAGATGAATTCTGCACACCTCTTGCTGTTGGATCTCCTGGTATGTTAGAAGTGCTGAAGAGGAAATGGTTGGAGTTAGTAGGCACATGGCAGGTCTTTGTTGTGTAAAGCTCCACCTCTGTGTAGCTCTTCAGAGCTGCCAGCTCAGCCCTTGGGAAGCCCTGGCCTAAGGAAGCAGCAGCAGGATACAGCCAGCAAACATAAGCTGTAAACTGGAGGATGTTGGGCAGGTCTGTCGATCAGTCAATGTCTTGTTGGAACTCTTAATTTATCATAACTTATAGAAGGAGTCTAATGAAGGAATATAAAAATGGAACTGTTAACTTTCCAGAAAGAGATTGGTTATGGCTTTTTGCCTGCACACGGGACAAAAGAAGTGTTTTAGGTGGTATTTTATATAAGTGACTGGTTAAACTTACTGTTTTTCCAAATTCTTGTTTGTTTTGCACAAGTTTTAAATTAGATTACTGGTTATTCAACAATACCCACCATATATAAATATGAAGATTTTTATAATTACAGATAACCAGTGAGGTAAACTGCAAAAATAAGAAGTGATAGCCTGCCTATACCTTTTGGAATGTTAATCTTGTAAAAAGTGTGTATTGGTTTGTTTAAATAGTCTTGTAAAGCTTCTGTGTAATGAATTGTTTCCAGATATGGATTTTCAGAGATAGCTGTAGAGATGTTTTTGATTCTTTTAGATGCCTCATTAAATAAGGTCTTTTATATGTTAATGTATAAAGAATATGTAAACAGGATTATTTTCAATTTTAAAATTTTGTATAGTTTAAAGACGCTTCTGTATTCTGTGTTGGTATTGTGCCACTGCAAAACTTTAGTGCAGAGTTTATATTTAGCTAAATTTGTTCTGTTAATTAAGAGAAATGCATAAATCTTTTATTCTCAATGAAATTTGTAACTGAATAAATTGACCTATGAGAGTTGATATATTTCACAAAAATGCAAAATTTTTTGCAGATGGTCTCAGGTCATTTTTTAAGAGAAGCTAATTGCTGAAAATGAAATATTTTGAGGATGTGGTGAGTAGCTGTTTTAAAAGGTATTTTAAAAATTTACAAGGGATACTATAAAATAATTATAAACACTAATTTAGCTGAGTTACCCAGGAAAACCTACCTTTCATAATGCAATAGAACATCACAGTGGTCCCTGCAGTTGCTTTTGTAATTATATCACTCATTATTTTGTGGTGTTACCATCTGTTTGATAAAGAAGACAGAAAGGAGTCCTCTGCCACCACCCTTTTCATGTAAACAGAGAAAGGTGCCAAAGCCTAATTTAAGGTCCATAAGTTTAGTCAGGCAGGAAGGAATCTGCTCTACAGCTAACTCAGGAAGAAGGAACCATCCCCTGGCACCCCTAAACTCAGGTGTCTGCTGCTCCCTCTGCTCTGATCCTGTCCTGCTGTTGGGACTCAAGCTCAGCATGTGCACTGGCTGCTTGTGAGGAGCAGGACTTCCAGTAGGAAACACCAGGAGGGTCATTGGGCCCTGTTGATGGCAAACATCCCAAACTGAGGGGGAGACAAGTTGTAGCTACCAGAGGATTTAGGAACCTGCTTTTCATGGCAAACCTTTATCCTGCTGGACACAGAATAACCACCACACTGCAATCTCTGATTCCTTGGGTATGATGGTTTTTACATGTGGACACTTAAATGTGCTCTCCAGCATGTTCTCTGTTGCTGTAGGTTTTTTATTTATTGGAGGGTAGTATATCATAGAAAGATCTGTCATTTGTGATTAGCCATTTACCTTCACATGTCATTTACCCCACTCATGTAGGCAATGTGAATATACACGTCTTTTCTTTTCTTTGAGAGGCTGCATTTCTCCTTGCTTACTGATGTGTAGGGTCAGAGTTAATGTTGAATCTTGGTGACAGTAACAAATCCAACTGCTTTTACTGAGTGTGCCCCAAGCATAGCAGGAGTCTCAAGAGCTCACTGCAACTAACCATACATGAAGTCTGCAGAGCAAGTTACTTTGATTTATTATAATCAGTAAACTTGAATTTACCCTGAGCCCCCAGGAAACCATGGTCTCATTTTCTGTCTCTTCCTGCAAGTGCTTCACTCCTGGGGCTTGCCTGATCCCCAGCATAGCACCCAAGTCCATGTGGGACAGATGGTGCCTCTCAGGTAGGTTGGTTGGTTTTTGGTGCATGTTTTTTTTCAAGGATAGCTCTGGGGTTTTTTTGATGGAGAGTACTAATCAACAACCCTGCCATGCCACTTCACCTTGCAGTCCAAGCAGCGTTCAGCTGTCCCAGATCTCACAGCACAGGTATGTTACAGGGTGGCACTGAGGGATTTTGTGCACTGGTAACCTTATTCTGTGGGGCATGATTCCTGGTACAGGGTATTTCATTTTTCCTGTGCTTCTGGAATTTGGGTGCTTTTCCATAATTTATAACTCACTCTGCTAGGCTCTGAAGTACTGTTTTGTAAGCAGGAAGAATTTGTCTTATGTTCAAAATACGTACAGAGTAATGTATCCTTTCTCAATAAATTGAATTAGAGGAGAGATTCTGTTGTTACTGGTTTTGCTGTTCTCAGTGCAGAGCCATTGAGCCCATGAGTGATCATGTGAACAGCTTCTGAGTAGTCCCTGCCTACTGCTAAAGCACGCATACAGTGTCCACACAATACTGCCATTTCTCTTAATTTAACATTATCCTTGCCTTAAGTGGCAGACTGGAGGCTTTTGTCTGAGCACTTGAGATCTGGGGGTTTGTATTACTTAAGCCAGACATTCCCATTTTCATTTAGGGATGGGGGTGTTTGTTTAGGGCAGATTTAAGACAAATACTGACAGAGAAAGTTTAAGGCAGTTTCTGTAACCTGTCCTTTGGGCCCCTTAGGTCTGTTATCAACATCAGAACTGCAGCTGTGGCTCTCCAGGACCTGGGAGGAGAACCTGCAGCTGGGATCTCTACCACTCCTCTACCCCCCACCATCAGCCAAGGTAAGAAACCTTGCCCCTGCACCGGGTACACACACAAGCAGATCAAAAATGTAAACCTTTATTTTCTTTTCCTTGGTCAAAAAACCCCAACAGACCACATTTTTTTACGACAAGCCCCCATCCCCAAAATACAGTGGATTTGGGTTAGCTTTTTGGTTAAAAGAAGGTTAAATAGATACACTAAACATGATACAAGAAAGCTTTAAATACAGTGTAAAAAGATGCCCTCAGCTGATGGAGCCGACCCGTATCTTTCTTAAATAAATAGGTACAATCAGTTACTAGCAGATAAAGTGCAACAGTGGCAGAGCAGCAGTGAGGTAGCGCGGTGTGTGACTGCTCCCCGCCCGAGCAGCGGGACGGGCTCCGGCGGGAGGGCTCAACCCGCCCGGTTACCCCATTCGAGGCCGGTCCCGCCGCGGCGGCGCTCACAGGGCGCGGAAAGCGCCGAGCGCGTTCTCCTCCCACTCCGAGCCCGACTCCGAGTATCCGCTGGTGTCCTCGGCGTCCGACACGGGCGAGTACTGCCCGCAGAAGGCGCGGGCCGGCGGGAAGGGGCCGGCGGCGCTCCCCGCGAACGGGCCGGGCTCGGCCCCACCGGGCGGGAAGCCCTCGAAGCCGGGGCCGGGGGGGAAGCCGGCGGCGGGCGGCCACGCGTAGGGGGCCGAGCCGTCCTCCGTGCGGGCGGCCGCGGAGAGGGCGCAGCGGGGCCGCTGCGGGGCGCGCAGGGCAGCGAAGCGGGGCGGCCGCGGGCAGCCCGGCGGCGCGGCGGGGCCGGGGCGGGGAGGGCCCCGCTGGCGGCGGGACTTGGCGCGGCGGTTCTGGAACCACACCTGGGGAGAGAGGGCGGCGTTGAGCGCGGCGGGGCGGCCCCGGCGGCATCGGGCGCGGCGCGGCCGGCGCCCCTCACCTGGATGCGGGACTCGGGGATCTGCGTGGCGTCGGCCAGTTTCTCCCGCAGGTAGATGTCGGGGTACATGGTGTCCTGGAAAACCAGCTCCAGCGTCTCCAGCTGCGCCGCCGTGAAGCTCGTCCGCTTCCGACGCTGCGAGGCCGCCGGCGCCCCCTCGGACGGCTCGGCCGGGGGAAGCGCCCTGAGGGCGGGCGAGGCCGGGCCGGGCCCGCCGCCCCCCGCCCACCTGCCCGCGGGGAAGGCGGGCGGCTCCGCCGGGGGCTCCCCGAAGCGCAGCGCGGCCATGGCAGCGGCGAGGAGGCCGCCGGACGGCCGGCCGAGCTTTATAGCCGGGGAGGGGGCCCGGCAGGGGCGGGGGTTCGAGGGGGCGGCCCGGCCCCGCGGGAAGGTGAGCGCCGGGCCCCCCGCCGGCCCCGTGCCCCATGGTGCCGGTGGGGTGCCCGCCTGGGGCGGCCCCTGCCTTGCCCAGCCCGGAGGAGTCAGTGATGCCCTAAGCGTGCCTGACGGGGGTGGGTGATGGCTGGCAGCCCTCGGCTCCCCGCCCGAACCATAGACAGCAGGAGGGAGAAGGGAGCGGGCTTTGCATCCGCACGCAAAACAGCTGGGTGTTTGGAGTTTGGCACCCCGGAGAGGACCAGAACAGCGGCTGGGTTGTTTCTAATACAACGTCTGGGCTGGTCGGGTTATAGAGTTCATTCGCTTATGGAGGTAGTTCTCTCGAGCAGCTGACTGCTTTGGCAAGTAATGGATCATGCAGGGTGTGAGACATAAAGCAAACAGGAGTTATCTCTTCCCCGTGGTCACGACTGCTCTGCTTGCAGTGCTTCACTGCCAGCTGTGTGGGTGGTGTACAGATTCCTGCTGCTGCAAAAACATCTCCTTCTTTTTCAGATGCAAGTTAAATGCACCTGGAGAGCTATAGCAGAGGCAGACATCGGTGTCATCACCTTTTCCGCCACTTGCTAATGCCTTTACACATCACACTGGCACATCCCGTGTGCTTCTGCCAAATCTGATTCCCAGACAAGAGGTCTTGTGCTGGAACGCTGCCTGCACACCCCAACAACACCAAGGCACTTAAAATGGTTTGTTCTTATATTACTTTTTACAACTGTCTCCCAAGAAAAATTACTTTGTACAGAAAATCATGTTAAAATTGTTAAAAGCTGTTTTTGGAAGTTTTGTTCCTAAAACATTTGTACCTTTGTGCTTTTATGTGTGCAGCAGTCCAGATGCTTTCATGACTGAAGTTTCTAGGTTGTTCCCAAATCGTGGGCTGTAGCCTGCAGACAGGAGTCAGACCCATGAGACTTCAACAATGTTCTCAGTTAGCAGTGTAACAAGAGGGCACAGTGGTGAGAAAGGGCACAGGTGAGTGGGGCTCCACAAAGCACAGACAGCATTATTTAAGGTTTTTAGTGAAAAACTCATTGAATCACTCTGCAGATTGCTTGCAGATTTAGAAGATGCCACAGGTGGCAGCAAAAGAGAATTATTCCAGATTATATTTACATGAGTAATGTTTTATTGTATTTTACATCAAATAATATTGTGTAAAACATAGCAGAGGTTTATTTTCTGAAGGATTTAATCCTGCTTGGAATTATGCCATTATAAGAATATAGTTTCTAGGATTTGGTTAAGGTTGATTAAGGCTGCCAGATAGAAAGAGCAGGTTTTTGGGGGAATGTGGTTTTTTCACACACATACATGTGTTTTTCTTTCAGCAGCAGCCAGGGCTTAAGGAGCTGCTGGCACCACAGGCCCCCCACTGTTCACCCCTGTCCTGATGCCTTCCCTTTAGCTGAGCATGTGTCAGTCCACACAGTGTGCTCAGGGAATTAACCCAAGTTAAATTAACTGCACAGTAACAACAGCTGGGGTTGGTTGGTTGAGTTTTTTCAATCCAGATCTGGGATTCCTATCTTTGAGTTACCAGTGCCCCCAGGATGGCTGTACAAGTGAGAGAACAGTGCCAGATGGAGCAGGAGGGAAATGAGGGGATCCCATCTGGGGTGCTTCTACCTGGATCTGATTCTGAGCTGGCAGAGAACAAAACTGACACAGACTGCCCAGGAGCATGGTGGTTTTCAGTGTCAGACTTCCCACTGAGACAACTGTCAATGTATATTGAACAGATACTCAGGAAAGAGTGAGTACTGGGAGCTAATAGACCTGTTCCCAACTCATAATCTGGAAATGGGCTGACTCTTTGATCTCTGGCTGCTGTGACATCCTTCAGACCAAAAGCCTCCTCGGTTGCCTTGCCCTTTATGGTTCCAGAGGTGTTCCAACAGCTGTCTTGTGACAGCAGCTGACACACTTCCCTTGGTGAGGAAAAGAACAGCGAGGCTTCCCAGGCCTGAAAACTTTCATTGGGAGATGCAGATGTAACAATTATAGACTTTTTAAAAAAGTCTACATTGTTACAATGAAAGTAAAATAACTTCCACACCCTACATTTTGTGGCATTCCACGTTGTCCGTGGATGCAGTGTGACCCGTGGCTCTGGCCCTGTGGAATAGGAACCTCTGTGTGAGTGAATTGTGGGCAAAACCCTTGGTGCAGCCCAGGATTGCACACACAGGCCCCAGGCTGTGGGGTTCCCACTCAGACTCTTCATTACCTGGCTGCAGACAGTTGTATTTTCTAGCAGATGTGCCTGTGAGTGGATGAGACTGCTCTGAGCAGGTCAGGCTCTGCTGCCTGTCTGCAGGTGCTGACTTCTGTTTACTTCTAGTCTGCCTCAGTTTCCCTGTCTGGGCTGGCTGGCTATTACCAGCATGTCATATATGTAATGTATATGTAATATACCACCTGTATCTTGGTGATGAGTTCCTTTCTGCTTACCAGTGGTATGTGCTTTTGGAAAAGCAGAGCAATTCTGGAGCAAAACCAGAGCCCAGGAATTATATTACTGCTCAGAGCATCACACACTAATTTTTGTCAGTGGGATCCTTGTGGCCACCCTTCTGTATTGGCATGGTTTGAAACAGGTCTAAGATTGAATAAAAGCAAGGGGGGTAGTACTGATTGTAAAGGAGTGTGCTGTTAGGTGGACAGCAGAACAGGAGGCTTCTGCTTCCTCCCAGGCAAACAGGATGACATGAAAGACAGCTCCTTGCTTCCTTCTGGCAGTTCTCTCCCCTCCCAATGATGGCATATTTCTCCACAGCTCCCACAGACAATCATCCCATGATGTCCCAAAAGCTGTGCCTGTGGGGTAGTGCAGCGTGCCTCCTGCAGCAAGGAAAATGTGCTGTGTCTGGATTCAGTGGAGTTTCCCTTCTCTGACAAGTAGTTTTCCATCCTGCTGTGCCCCTTGTAGGCTGACAAAGAAGTTTCTGATGCCTTGTAGGTGCCAACATCAGCATGGGAGTCAAACCCAGGTAAGGGCTGGAAGCATTTAGAAGACATTCAGTTTTGTCCTTTCCTGTTTTCAGACTTGCTTTTATTTGTGTCCCACCAAGGTAAAAAGAAGGATTTTATGTCTTCCCTCAAGAAGCAGAGGATGTGACAGAAGTCCAGAAGTGGCTTGCTTTTTGAAATTAAGATGGCAAAAACTGAGAGAGCTATCTCTAAGGGAAAAGCAGACTGCCTTGTGTTGATATGAAAAATTACAGGCTGCTTCAGAAGCTGTTTACACTGATCTTCACTCTGTTTGTCAGGAGAGAAACTTCTGGTGCTTTTGTCTGTGCTGGGAGTGTCCCAGCACTGAGGCATCTGTGCCAAGAGGACTCACAACACAAAATGTGCCTCTGCCTGCAATAAAACAGTTCTAAGCTTCAGCTGGAGAACATGGTCTCACATCACTGCTGCCAGCTCTGAGCATCCAGCAAGGGTAAGACAGGCTGTGAAACACCAAGGTTGTGGAGCAGCAGGGGGAGATGGGCCCTGTGGTGAGTTTTCCAGTTAGCTGCTCTTCAGCCTTTTGCATGTCAAGCTGAGGATGTTCTCTCAGGCTCTTGGTGCTACAAAGTCATCTTTTAAATGTGCAGTTGAAGATGCTGCTTTATGTGGCTTGAGGAACTGGAGCTTGGGAAGCATCCCAGAATGCAGTGTGACATGCAGTCATGGCTTTGCTGACAAGACAAACACACCCCTTGAAATAACCAACATGTGAGCAGTTCTGCTGCTCAGTCCTGGAGGGAATGGGACACCTGGGGTTTTGCCATGCAGTGATTTGTAACCAGCTGTGCAGCCTTGGCTCTGTTCAAACTCCTCTGGCTTGTCAGATGTCACATCACCCTGTTCCTTCTGGGACTCTGCAGGGACACAGTTTGTGCACAGTCTTTTGTCATTCCAGCAAGGTTTATTGTTTTATTTTCTTTTTGGTGCCTGTCTTCAGCATGAATTCTCTGGTCACTAAACCTGAGACTGAAGTTTGTAGAAGTGCAGATTTAGCAGTCTCTTGTCAACCTGAGTAAATTTGCAAAGATTTGGTATCCTGGAGATCTTAATTTCTACATCAGTTTTAATTGAAATTGGCCAAAAAGTTCAAATCTTATCACAGAATCATAGAAAGGTTTGGGTTGGAAAGGACCTTAAAAAATCATCTAGTTCCAATGCCACAGCCATGAGCAGGGACACCTTCCACCAGACCAGGTTGATCAGAGCTCCATCCAACCTGGCCTTAAGCACTTCCAGGATGGGGCATCCACAGCTTCTCTTGGCAACCTGTGCCAGGGCCTCACCACCCTCACAGTGAAGAATTTCTTCCTAATACTTAATCTAAACCTCAAATCTCAGTTTGAAGCCATTCACCCTTCTCCTGTTATGACATGCCCTTGCAAAAAGTCCCTCTCCATGTATTAGGACACTGACCAAAAAAAAAGGACAGTGGTCACACAAACCTGATTTCATTAATTTAGAGAAATTTTAAGAAAAAATAAAACCATGTTTTTGCTGTTAAGACTTAAGGTTAACTATCCCTGGATAGCTTGTCTCTGAAGAAGCAATCCCTGGATAATTATCCTACAAATTAAATTAATTGTAGTCCAGACACATTTTTATGGTTGCATATATAACTACATTTGCTCCAGAGTTTCTGCTGGCAGGAAAATACCATATAATTTCCAGCTTCTCTAGCAGGGCCCTGATAGCAAAAATTGTTAATGCATGCTAGGCTTAGGTTTTGAGGTTTTTTTCATTCTGCCTAAGAGGAAATCTTTATATGAATACTTAATTTCCCTTTGATTGCTTCTAGTCATTGTGACAAAGCTCTTTACAACCTCAAAATGCTTTTAGAGGTTTATCAGGTCTTCCCAATGTGCAGACACAAGATC